GCGAGAGGCTTCACCAGAGACAGAGTGGGGAGCAGAACAGGCAGATCGTGAAGTACACTGCTGAGGGGAGCAGCGGGCGGGTCAGGAGAGGTCTGCTGCACCATGTGGACACCTCCGGGGCAGGCGGGAATCGAACTCATGCAGAAGTGGCTTTAGCTTCTCAGTGCTGTGCTTCAACCCGCTGCGCCACCAGGGAGGGCCCTTCGTGCCTTTTTAAGCACATTGCAGTCTTTGTCCTCATCTCTTGGGTTACTCTGTGGAGACCCAGGAGGGGGATTCTTTTATTGCCTGGAATGCTAGAAGAGCAGAACTTCCTAGCAGAGGGGTGAAGAGTTCCATTACCTATGGGGACAGCTCCACAGATGGCAAAACAAATTCTCAGTCCCTTTCCCTCAGACAACGGAGCTCTCCTTGCCTCTGGAGGTGATGTGCTAAGAGCACTTAAGCAGCTTTGGTGAGGAGGGGATCATCTGTCATCTTGTCTTGGCCACAGAAAAGGGGTGTGTGTTTCTGGCTGCGGGCTCCCCTGCACACTGGCCCTTCCTGCTCTGCACCCTCCTTCTCCTGGGGGATCCTTTTCTTCACAAAGGCCCTTTTCTTCATGTCTGCAGTTCCCGGATGTCAGGGACCTGTCGGGACAGGGCAGGAGGCTTGCCAGTTGAGGCCGGGTGACAGATCTTTCTGCCATGTCTCTCACCAGCTCTTTTCCCTGTTCCAGGTGTACGTATCCTATGACTATGGAAAATCATTCAGGAAAATTTCCGAGAAGTTGAACTTCGGCGTGGGAAACAACAGTGAAGCCGTGGTGGCCCAGTTCTACCATAGTCCCGCGGACAACAAGCGTGTAAGGCGGTGGTCACCCTGCCGTTTGGGACCTGGCGTTGTGTTTCGGGCAGAAGGCTGCGCTGGGAGATGGGGATCTTTGTCCTCGTTGCAGCATGACCGGTCACTGCTAACCTGGGAGCTTCTGACAGAACATAGCTCTCAGGATGGGGCAGAGCACAAAGCTGGCAGTGTAGAGTCTCCAGACACCATGGCAGGTCACAGCACAGAAAACCTGCCAACTAACTACACTGCCTGACGCTCAGTGGCGAATGTGCCCAGACCCTGGGACTTACGTCTGAGCAGGTCTTTGGAGGGCTCAGCTCTTGGTTTGATGGCATCACCAGCGTGTGTGTGTGCGTGTGCATGTGTGTGTGTCCTTGTGCTGATGTCCCCCCTCTCCACTCCCACACTCACCTGTACCAGATATTGCTCTCTGTGGTGATTTGTGTTCCCCCTGCTGGCCTGAGGATTTTGTTTCTAAAGTTAAAGTGGGGAAGTTTTGACTTGAGGTTGCCCTGGGCCCTGGGGACAGGAAGGGGGAGGGGAGGCTGGAAGGAGGCAGCCTGCCAAGCTCTCTGCCTGTAGGTAGCTGTAGCTGGGAGAGTTTTTTCTGATTGCTTTCTGCCCCACTCAAGAACCCCAGCTCATTTCTAGGGTAAGATAGCAGCTTCCACAGATGCTGAATAAAGGCTCTGAGATATGGTAGCTGCTGCTCTCTTCTCATCCTGCCTGGAGGGCTAGAGCCACAAGGTTTCTGGGCCAGGAGGTACCCCCTCTCCATCCATTCCCCACCCCCCCAACCACCCACCCCTTGCAGGCTTCTCAGGTTGCCTGTGGTCTGTTAATAGGGGCTGTATTCAAAATATTTAGCCACTGGGATGGTACTGACCAATCAGAACTGACCCTGCTTGGAGGGAAGCTGGGTTTTGAAGGCCACCCTGCTGGGCCCAGCATTAACCTTTCATTTGCTGACTTAGGAGGAGGTCCTGTGAAAGGAGTGAGGCTGTGTGTGGTGAGTGTGTGCGTGTGAGTGTGTTTTGGGGGGGCACACATGGGCTTTAGGGATGCAACTATTTACTGATGGGTACAGAAGCAATTTTTTTTATGATAGCTGAAACAGTTGTTATGGTCCACACTGGTTAAATATCAGCCCAGCCTAAGGCTCTTAAAGGATTCTAGAAAAAGATTCCTTTTGCCTGGGGTGACAGCAAGTTTTCTTTCACCTGCAGTAACTGAAAAAATATTAGTGAGAACTGGCTCTGTACCACCTCCCCCACCATGGCAGGTGTCCAGATACCTGTGCACTTGGGACCGCCTTGTTTGATGCTGGAGCCACACTTGGGGGTCAGCTCCTGGCAGCCCGATCTCCGGAGAATAGATCTAGACGCTCTTGCCTCCCAAGAATCGAATCACCCTTGGATTTTACACTTGTTCTGGGCAGACCTGTCTATTTGCACTGCTAATACACATCCTCCCAGTGTTAACCCTTGTGGAAGTGGTGGCTTTGCGAGCTCCTTGTTGCCCTCTGGAACCTTTTTCAGTCTGTTTACGCCGCCTGCCACAGGGCACAGGCAGAGGGCACAGGTCTGTTAGCAGGTCTGCCTTCCTGGTTGTGGTGAGCAGCTGCTAAGCCCATGCATCTGAGTAGTCAGAAGACAGGAAGGATAATGATAGGGGCTCGCAGGGGAGGCTTAGTGCTGGCAGAGAAGATTAGGGACTCTTAGAGCATCTGGTCTAGAGAAGGAGTAGGGCCGGCCTATGGGAGACAGGAGACACCCTGGGGGAGTGACAGCAAAGGCACTTCAGGTTGCATGGGGTGAGGTGGGAGCAGTTCCTGTCTGCCTTGGAAAGGGCGTGTCTTGGATTTGTCATGGTCAAGTTGGGACAGTGAAGAGGGGCTGCCTTCTGGGAGAACCCTGAGGTTGAGTGAAGTGAAGGGTGCAGCCTTCTCTGTAAAGTCTCTAGTTCCCCTGAAGAGGTCTGTTTACCCAGCTTCCCTCTCCCCACACTTCTGAGGAAGGAAATGATGACTCTTAACTGTGCTGTTGGAAGGCAAATCACCCCAGAGACCTACCACCACTTCCTGAGAAGAATCACACAAGGCTGGTGCCTTGCTGTCAGTGCCGAGGAGGGGGGCCCTGCAGACACCTGTTTGTCAGTGTGGGGTGTCAGGAGCTCAAGTGGACACGGTTCACATGAGCCCCTGCCTCAGAGGTTAGGCTGGCACAGCCTGGCCATGTGGAAGTTGGGGGTGATGGGTGTGGAAGTCTGCGGGTGGTGGCCGTGCCTGGTCGGGCTGGTGGTTTGGCTTCATGACGGAGCTGGAGTGACGTGGGTGCATGTTAGCTTGAAGGTCTATTTTCAAGTCAGCCAGCAGTTCTACTTCCTCCTTGCTGTCCTTTGTGCTGGCTCCTGAGCTGGCCTGCAGCTCCAGCCCGCCAGCAGGCCCTTGGCCTTGAAACGTATTCACCCCCAGGCAGGCGAGTCCAGAAAGTCTGTGGCTCCCTTACAGAGGCCACCGAAGGTGCACTCTGCCCCATAGCCTCACCGACAGCCCTTCTGCTTTTCTCCAGCAGTTGGGTGCATTTGTGAAGCTGCTCTTCCCCCTCACCTCCTACAGGAGGGCTCCTTCCTCCTTCACCACACGCCTGCTTTCTCCACTCAACATGGGAGCGTCTTTTATGCTCACATGGCGATGGATTCCATAGCTTATTTTGTTTCTTTTCTAGAAAAAAATTCTTTTAAAGACTTATTTATTTATTCATATGGAGCTGGGGTATAGGCCAGAGATGGGGAGGGTGAGAGGCTTCACCAGAGACAGAGTGGGGAGCAGAACAGGCAGATCGAGGAAGTACACTGCTGAGGGGAGCAGTGGGCGGGTCAGGAGAGGTCTGCTGTGGGTCACCTCTGGGGCAGGCCGGGATTGAACTCATGCGGAAGTGGCTTTAGCTTCTTAGTGCTGTGCTTGAACCCACTGAGCCACCAGGGAGGGCCCTCTAGAAACATTTTAAGAAGAGAGATTTTAAGAAGGCCAAAAGGTGAGCTCCTCTAGAGTGGGAAGTGGAGGGGCAGGGGACACGAGGATCCTCCTGAACCCAACTTTAGGAGGTGCTCATAGGTCAGCTCTGTTGGCTCCTAGGTGGGGTTGATGCAGGGTAGTCTCGGGACTGAGAGCAGAGCAGGACCTTCTCACGTGGGCGTGTGAGATGCAGACCTGAACAGCCCGGCGCACTTGTCTAGGCCTGGCCGTCTCCCCCAGGCGGTGAGAGCTGGGGGCTTAAGGCTTCCTGGGACCCTCCACGTTAGTGACAGAGCTCCAGGGCTGGGCATGGTTCCAGTGGCTAGAACAGAGTTGGGGGGAGCCCTCGAGGAGGAGAGAGCGGGGCAGAGACAGCGGGGTGTCCTTCTGTGGCATCAGTGCAGCACCCCCAGCTTGCAAGAGGGATGCCCAGAGAAGGGTTGAGGGGGGCCAGCGGAAGGGTGGGGAGGGCCAGCGGGACTTGGTGGGAGGTGTCAGAGACACAAAGGCAGGGAGCTAGAATTTCAGGGAGAAGTCTGGGTCAGCCTAGACCTGCAGGGCAGGTAATGTTTGTGTTGGAGCGAGGTCTTGGAGCTGAGTGGGAGGACCCCCGAGTAGCAAAAGAAGAAAGAGCAGTGGACTGAGTATGAAGCGGACAGTGTGGCGTGGACACAGTGTGGCGTGGACTGTGAAGACAAAAGGAGCCAGCAGAAAAGGACAGAGCTGGTGGGGTTCAAAGGTTGGGGATGGGATGGGGGGTGAGGTGGTGGGAGGCTGGCAACATGGAGAGTAGATCTGAGAGTCCCTAGGAGGCCAGGAAGGAGAGTTTATTTTACACTTAAGGAGGGATTCAGGGCCCAGCAGCACGAGGTAAGGGATTTCCTTTCAGCACAGGCTGCCTTTGCATTGGAGAGGACAGGAAGGATGGATGGGCCATTAAGAGATGAGCCCTGAACCAGCATTCGTTGGTGTAAGTGCTGTGGGCTCCAGGGTTCGGTGAGCAGTTATCCTATCCAAGGTCAGTGTTCTCATCTATGAGAGGAAAGAATAACAACATCCCAAGCACTGATCTGCTCTATTGCTAAATGGACGAAGTGAGAGTAAGGCCACTAAACTCTCCCCTCATATCTGGCACATAGTAAGAGTGTCTGGAAGATTTAAGCTAGTAGGCTATGAGACCCATCACTGGGTGCATGAGTTTTAGATTCTCAACCAGGGAGCAGATTTCTGGAGAAATCTTTGCAAACCGAGAACACTCCCTCAGTAACCAAGATAGTGTTGGAGCAGGAAGATGGGTGAGGCTATTTCTGGGGAAGACTTTTATGCCAGACATGATGCTGGTACCCTAGGAACATGCCTATTTTTATAACATGGCCTTTGCTTGTAGTAGTTTTCAGTTTCAAGACATTTACTAGCCTTTAGAGTTAGATTTAATAAGTCTTCTGCAGAGTTTGGAGCTTTGTGTTAGCTACTGTGGAGGGAGCAAAAGAGAACACGTAAAACCAGTTCCTGGGAAGTTTCAAGTCTCAATTTGGGGAGAGAGCAAATGAGAAGGAGCTTGAGCACTGACAGCAGCGTGTGCACCAGCACGGAGGCCCGGCTGTCGTGCTGAAAGGATCCAAGCTGCAGCCTGATGTGCATCAGGTGGAATCAATTAGGGAGCGTGTCCTGAGCCCGATTCCTTGGGCTTGTTGATTTCTAGAATTTCCTTGACTGCTGACCGTGGTTGGTGGAGCGGATCTGCCTGCTTTACTATCGTTTTGGGGTCAGTCCCTCCCCCGCCCCGCTGAGTCTTCTGGGAGCAGGGCTGCCTTCCAGGTTGCTGTGTGCACCCAAAGCTTTCCACCACTTGTGCTTCCTTCCTAAGCATTTCCCCAGGCCCTCCAGACTGGCACCATACCCATGCTGTTCTCTCCTCCTTTGTTCCCAAGCTCAGACTGCCTCGAGTTGGGTGATCCATGCCCTAGGGAAGTCTTGCCTGCCCCCCAAAGACCATATCTTCCATGGGGTCATTTCTGAAGTCTGCCCCCCGTTTCCCATTCACTCTCACTTCCCTTCTGGGGAGGGTTAGCTGTGGACATGTCTGCCTTGCACCAGAGGGCAGGCTGCTTGAGAGAGTGGACCCAGCCAGGGTTTGCATGGAAGATCCTGTGTGTCTGGTCCAGGGTACATTTGTTGAGTTGAATTTAGCCCTTTCCTCCTGAGAACTCCATAGACCACTCGTCCCTATCCAGCCAAACTGTCCCATGTCGCTCACCCAGGTGTGAGCCAAAGAGGGTGAGGCCCTGCTGTCTGAGCTGCTTCCTGCTGTGCTCCTGTCGGTGGTGGCAGTTAGGGCCACGCAGGTGGAGGTGGCCCCCACACTTAGTAGCCAGAAGCGGCTAATCTCCTGGGAGGGGTGCACTGTTAGGGATTTTTCCTGGAAAGGCTTGTCTGACTGGTTCTCTCTCAGAAGATGTGTGGCTGTGCTGTGTGTGCAGCCAACCTACAGAACACGACTTCCCCTGTCGAGAGTTCTGGTAGCCACTCTCTGATTGTGACTGAGTGACTGGCAGGGCTGAGGTTGGCCAAGTCAACTCAAAGGAAAAGCAGCATGACTTGACTAGCTGCATGACCTTGTTCAAGGAGAGCCTTCTCTGGCTTTGCCCCGGGCTGTTGGGTGTGTACCAGCTTCCCTTAGGAGGCCAGGACACAGCAGGAAAAAGCCTGATGGGAACCTGTCAGCTCTGTCCCCCTAGTGCCCTTTGGCCCCCTGCATGCTTGCGCTCCCTGCCTGGGGTGTGGGGGCGCTGGCCAGGTCCCGCTCTGACTCACCTCTTTTCTCTTGCAGTACATCTTTGCAGACGCTTATGCCCAGTACCTCTGGATCACATTTGACTTCTGCAACACAATCCAAGGGTTTCCCATCCCATTCCGGGCAGCCGATCTCCTTCTCCATAGCAAGGCCTCCAACCTTCTCCTGGGCTTTGACAGATCTCACCCCAACAAGCAGGTAAGAGAGCGTTGTGGACACAGCCAGGTGGAGCGCCTCGTAGCCTGCCTGTCCTTTGAGTGACCTCCCTCCTGCCTGCCCTCTCTTTGCTGGCCTTTGTAGCTACTGTTTCACATCCCATGGCTAAGGAACAATCTATTCTTCTGGCACGCTCCGTCTGCGGCCCAGCCAGGGAATAACACCTGGCCCTTGGCTGGCCTGTTACTTAATCATGCCCTGCAGGGTAGATGCACTTTTGTTCATCCTGGGGTAAATTGAGGCTCTGGAATTTAATCAGGCCAGGTAGAGCTGTCTAGAGCTCTACTGGGCTCTCGTGTGGAATTTCTGTTCTGACTTCCCTATCCTCTACTTTAAACCTACTGCTTTTGCTGACCTTTTATTTAATGTTACCATTAACTGAATTATTCCTCCTTCATGCATTGGTGTGTGTGTGTCTGTATATAAATGTATTTTCCCCCTTTAATCCAAGTTGAAGGAACGGTGGGAGAGGTGGGGAGAGAGCCTGAGCAGGATTTATATTTCAAGGTTGAAGCTTGCCAAGTCTGGTATATGCTCTGGCATAATCCTGTGAAACCTGTAGGTCCTGTAGGATTGGATTTATAAGTTTTGCAGGGTTTTGCTCAGAGGAGCCTTGGAACATTTCTTTTTCTTTGCAGGTGGTTTAGCCAAGACGTGATTTGTTTACCTTCACTCGCCTTAGGGAGAAATCTGAGTATGGGCTAGGTCATTTTACCAGTGTGGGTGGATAATTGTTATTTTGGTCTCCTGCTTCTTTAATCCCCGGCTGCTTGGGCCAGAGGAACCCTCAGGTTATTCCTTTGGAAACATCAGGCTTTGGCAAAGACCAGCAAGTGAATCACCCATGTGCACACCACTGGGGACTCAGTCTGTTCCCTTAGGTGCTCTTCTTTCTGCAGGAGCAAAAGCAAAAGCTTAGCCAGTGTCCTTACCCTTCAGCTTGAATCACCCTGACCCTTGATGGGTTTTTAAAGATAGTTTTCCAGGCGGAAGTACTGGGTATCTTTGGGTGCTTTACCATCACCCCAGGGCTAGACTTGAACAAAATGACACTTTCTGGTAACCAGTCAATGAAAGACCAGTCCCTTTCATTCTGCCTTCTCGTAACTCTGGAGAAGAATGCAAGGTCTGGTAGTCAGCACGCTCTGTCCTTCCCTCCTGCCCTTGTCTGCACTTGGAGGAACCATGCGGATCAAGGTGACCTTGGTGCTGGTCTTCACAGATGGCACATACCTTAGGTGGGCATCCGTGCAGGTGGGCACACTTCACGTGGGGTAACCACCTCTTGTCATTTTGTCTGTCTCTGCAGCTATGGAAGTCAGATGACTTTGGCCAGACCTGGATCATGATACAGGAGCATGTGAAGTCCTTTTCTTGGTAAGTTCTGCCGTGTAAGGAATGTTAAGTTACCTAATCTCCTTTCTCCGGTTCCATCTTCTTCACGGAGGACAAACCTTCTGCCCTGGAAGTACCTGAAACATAAAGCATTTGGTTCAGGAAATACAATTTCCAGACCAGGGAAATTGGAGCTGTAAGTTCAGCAAACTCACTAGGTGTGATGAGAAAGGAAGGTCATTTTCGAGAGGAGATAGAGCTTTTGCTTTTGCAGGCCATCAGAAAGCCCAGGGGAATCTGGAGCTCTGGAGTGTATTGGAGAGCCTAAAGACTTTCATTTTTAAAGCATCATATGAGAAGTGAGGATTTTTCTCCCTGGAAAATTTGTTCAATTGTTCGCTCATAAGGTATTTTTTTTTTAATGTTTGCTAAATATAAAACATGCTAGATACTTTCAGGCATACATGGTTGAATAATTTATGGGTAAAGTTACTAAGGAGACAGTAACTTAAGTGGTAAGAAAAAGCATTCTGTACGTAATGCTTTATACAGGAAGCACAGAAGTCATGGGGATAGCTTGAGAAGGCAGAGGCGAGTCCTAACTCCGTGGAGGAGGTTGCTGTTGATCCAGGTTGTGTACAACAGGTGGGGTGAGCCATGCGGAAGTGTGCAGGGTGGGATTGCAGGCGGAACCAGAACGAACGAAAGCACAGATGAGTATGTGAGTCAGTTTTTTTGTCATTATCTGTTGTTGCCTCAACCCATTCACAGCAAATGTGATTCCTTCCTGATTGACCGCTGACCTTCATTGCCCCATGAAGCTTCCCCATTATTTTCCCCATTTCAAGTTTCTTTTGCTCAGGTCAGAAACTTTGAATCATTATGACCATATTTCTTTCGTGTTTCACATTAAATCAGTCAGGAGATCCTGTTTCTCTTTCTTCAGCACATCCAGCATCTTCTACTCAGCTCCTTTACTCTAAGCCACCGTTCTTATTCGTTGGTCATCCAGATGGTCGCCTTCTGTTTTTGCCCTTGGACAATTTATTGTCAGCCCATGGCCACAATGACCCTGTTGAAAACAGGTCAGATTGTGTTACTTTGCTTTGAACTATTTAATGGGCATTGTTTCTCTCTGATTAAATGTCAGGTTTATTCCTACCACTGGGCCTTTGCACAAGCTCTGCCTAGAATTTTCCCACCCAGGATATACTAGTGCCTTGCTCTCTTGCCTCATTTAAATCTGCTCAGATCAAGCTTAATGAGGCCTAACCTCAGGATCCTCTTAAAATTATACTCACTCCCATCACTTCTACTATACTATGCCCTGACCTATTTTTCTGCATATCACTTATACTCTGATACACCATTATTATGCTTATTACTTGTCTCTGTCCAGTAGATGAAAAGCCCCATCAGGACAGTAGCTTCTGTCAGTTTTGTGTAGTGATAATCCTCAGTGAATGAAGCATGGAAATTATAATTTAGGTAGGATGCCATATTTTCTGTGTGAAGTGTTTGGTTTTGTACTCACATCCCATGGAATTCTGCCTCTCCCCACAGCCAATGTGTCTTAGTTGAGAAAGAATATTTCAGTTAGTTTGAGTTTGTATTTTCCTTAGGAATGAGTTTAAACATGTTTAACCTGCTTAAAGAAGGGTTTTCGTTATTATGATTTATATGTCCTGATCTTTTGTTTCTTTTTCTTTTATAATTGATTTCCAGGAGCTCTTTATATGTTTGAGATTAGTCCTTTGTTTGAAATGTGAGATAACTGTATGATCATGGGATAGGGTTAGCTGTGCTTTTATATTTATATTTCCCAATTTGTCTTCTGACTTTCCCATGGAGATTTTGTCCTCATTAAATGCAATGGCCCGACGCAATGTAAAAACTGTGCCTTTTTTTTAGCCTTCTGTTTGAAGAGGATGTCTTTGAGTTAGTGTGGCTTCCTTGGCAATAGAAGGTCGTGAAGTGCAGTACAGAGGGGCCTTATAGCTGCGTGTCTTCAGGCTCCAGTGGGCTTGCTTTTCTTAGAGACAGCTGCTTCTGACCCTGGGGCAGGGGGTTGTAGAGTCTTAGTGAAATTATAACCACAGTGTCTTCCAAGGACAACCTCTACCCAGGGAGTCCCATTAGAACTTTCTGTGTTCGAATTTTAAAGGGGCAGATTGCTCTTTTATCTGTTTGGAAAGCATGCATTAGGAGGACAAACCAGCAGGATTATTAAATAAAAGAACTTCCTGTTTGGGAATTTGTAAGTTATACATGCTGTCTCTGTACAGACATAAAGATACCTTAGGGGAGAGGGTTGGCCCATCTTATTTTAGATAATCACATGTCTGGTGTTAGCGTATTTCAGGCTATCTGGGGATTTCCCCCTAGGATTCCTCATAATAAGTGAATATAATGTCACAGCATAGTGGCATATATTTATTTAACAACGGTTGGCAGCCTTTGGAGCAGCAGGAGTGAGAAAAACCAAAGTCTTATGTTGTCCAGAGCTGGAGATATTCAAGACTGGTGGTGGGAGATCTCTGGGAGGGTGCCAGGTGTCTGGTGGGGTACTGCCAAAGGGTCGTCTGCTAAGCAGGTGGGGTAAGGTGAGGACTGATAGGTCCACTCAGCTAGAATAAACCTTGACATTTCCAAATGGGGGCAGACGCAGCACCAGAAATAGGTGAGGGCATGCACAAGGTGGGAAGGTGGTGATTGGAAAGCTGTAGGAGGCGAGGCTCTCAGAAAGGAGCTTCAAGTAGCCATCCCCTGTGAGAATTGGGAAGGAGGGCACAGCTCTTTCTATCAAATGTCAGCTGCTGCTTTGGTTAGGAGGGACTCAGAGGTGAGCTCATTTCAAAATAGCCGCATAAAGGCCCCTTCCTCGCTGCCTTTTTAAAAATACCCAGCAGCCTGGTTTTAATTTACATATCCGCTAGGATAGAGGAAGTTCTCTAATCAGTATTTCTAATTGTGGAAAAGAAGGGAGCGAACCCACTCCCACATGCAGGCTTGCAGCAGCCCACGGTGACTTCACTCCGTGAGGTCTAAGACTGCTGGTTTCTCCATCGCCCTGGGAACTGTGGGGCAGCTGAGGCACGTCTTCCCCCGACGTAAAACCAAACCCCACAGACATGAAAACACTTTAGATTTTCTGTTTCTTCTCTCCCTTCCTTCCTTTCTTCTTGAGAACATGCTCTCGCCGGTGCACCTTTGAAGGCACGGAGTACCCTCATCATCTCGAGAGCCAGTGGTGTAGGGAGGAGTCCGGATGTTAACCGGGAGCGCCCTTCCCGACTTTCCCAGGGACTTTCCTACTTGCTGAAGGGCCCCCTGGCCTGGTGTTCTTGTGTTAGGTAGCCTGGACCCGCTGCTGTTGGGGACCTTATTTTTCAGTTTTCACTTTGGACTGACCCCTGTAATTATGGTTCACACACTCAGTGTCGCAGGGAATGATCAGCTAAGTACCCTTTGGGATAAAAGGAAATGTAAGACATAGTCTTTGAAGCCACCTGCTTGCCTGCATCTCTGTTTCTGTCTGTCTGTAGCCCAAACACCATGAAGAGTATCTAGCAAGAAGCACTGCTGTATACAGTAATGAGACTAGTCACAAAGTCGTTCTCTACCTTTCTTTCAGGCTCCTACAACACAAACTCAAAAAAGGCTTGAAATAGAGTGTTGCAAAAAAGCCACATGTTGGCAGTGCTGGGTGAGGAGAGGGACGATCACTGTATCATTGGGCTTCTTTGAAAAGGGGGACTTGACTTAAGAGCATGAGTCTCATTTAGAGGTGCTGACCGGCCCCAGAGGTATAGTGTTGGCAATGCACAGCTAGGCCCCAGGCCTCTGAAGGACATCAAGGAGATCAGCATATAGAGAAAGGACTTGTGAAGGAGCCTCGTGGGAGATGAATTTGCACTGGTTGGATAAATCCTAGTGGCACAGATCAGTGACAGCGGCACCAGATGGACAGAAAGGGAACGGGCAGGGTGTCTTGGAAAGACCTGGCTCAGGGCCTACACCTGTGGTTTCTGCTAGAACTGTGCCTCTGAGAACATGGCATCCCCGGAAACATTGCCTTCGTTCCTCTGAGGTTCATCCCTCGAGGCCAGAAGCTTGCTGACAGCCTGCAGCAGTCCATTGCTCATTAATGCTTTTATTCTTTTTGTTCTTCTCAAGCATGGCTCTATTTTGCCTTGAGCAAAATCCAAGGTGCTTTGAAAACAACAGCAACAACATAAAACACTTTACAAAAGGGCAGTTCCTTTCCCTCCAAACGGAGCCCCAGAGTAAGCCCAGGAATAGGTTTGTGACAGAGAGAAATGTCATTTGTATCTCCCACCTGGATTCCCCCAAATCTGAGCAGAGGGTCTACATGGTCTAGTATCCACACCCCGCTGTAGGGCCAATGGAAGTGATCAGGTTTTTCCACTCTCCCACCATTTGCATCAATGATCGATGCCAATGGTCTCTTCTGAGTACCTGATGGCTGCACTGGAGTCTAGTGTGGGCATGCGTGAGGGGGCGCACCTGAGCCGACTCATGGTGCGTGTAAGGTGAGACAGAGGCCAGGGGGCAGAGTGCAGTGGAGAGAGGTGGGGAGCATCAGAGAACTGCTACGAGAGGAAAGGGGGTATAGAGATTCACAGGGGGTCCAAGTTGCGATCTCCCTGCCAGCTTGCTTCCCCTGTCCTGTGAGGATGATACCAAAGGGCTCCAAAATTCTCTTTCAAGCTGCTTGTGTTAGGGGGAAAGCATGTCCTAAAGGAACTCTGCAGAGTTTTGTGAACTCCACCCCACTACTCCAGCTTTCTGGACTCCACCCCCCCCCCCACTCCAGTATTTGGAAACTACAACTCCCAGCAATACCAAGGAGAGAACTGTGAGGACCCAAGGGTGGAGCTAAGCAGGCATTTTGGGACTTTGGGGGATAAATACGGGGCCATTTTCTGCAGAGCTCTCGCTCTCGGGACTGCGTGGCTGGTGGCTATCAGTGTGTTACTGGAATTCCAAGTCAGCTGAGCTGGTAGAGTGTTCTAGTTACCTTTTTACCTTTCTCTTTCCCTGGGTTGTTCCTTTTCCTTTCCCCTTTTGTAAATAAATCCATTAGTGGCCCTTTTGTGTTTATCTGCAGTATAATTAAATTTTAAGCACGGCCCTCCCTGGTGGCGCAGCGGGTTAAAGCGCAGCACCAAGAAGCTAAAGCCACTTCCGCATGAGTTCAATTCCCGCCAGCCCAGAGGTGACCACATGGTGTGGCAGACCTCTCCTGACGGCGCCTGCTGCTCCCCTCAGCAGTGTACTTCGTCAGTTGGACTGTTCTGCTCTCCACTCTGTCTCTAGTGAATCCTCTCACTGCCCCTGTACTTCTGGCCTGAACCCCAGTTCTGTATGCATACATAAATAAATCTTAAAAATTTTTTTTTTTTTATTAAGCACAGGTGAGGACCCACAGACAGGCAGCCCAGTTCACACTGCGTTGCTCTGTAACACTTGAACCAATGACAAACCTGCCCAGCCTGGGGTGGGTGCAGAACACCCACGACTAAATGTGCCGCTGACGACACTTGTCTGTTCTTCCAGGGGAATCGATCCCTATGACAAGCCAAACACCATCTACGTGGAGCGACATGAGCCCTCTGGCTACTCCACGGTTCTCCGAAGCACAGACTTCTTCCAGTCCCGAGAGAACCAGGAGGTGATCCTGGAGGAAGTGAGAGACTTTCAGCTTCGGGACAAGTATATGTTCGCCACAAAGGTGGTGGTAAGTTGAAGGCACTGAGGAATGCGTGCTTTTGAGTCTCCTTTCTGAGGTTTGACAGTCTGTGATCAGCAAGTGAGTTTGCACAGGGGGACCGGGTTGGTGGGTCTGGGGGAGTGTGACTGAAGCATGTGAGGCTAAGATTAGCAAGCTTAGACAGCCACTCAAGATTCTAGGCACTAAGAGTTTTGTTCTTTCCTGGTAGTCACCCACCCTTGACAAACCTTTCGCTGAAGTTTAAGAACACAGAAAGGACACGTGAGGCTCTGTGACTTTTACCCCTGAAGCCCTCCGCCTGATTTCCTTTTGATGTAGGCTGATTTCTTTGCGATTTTTGGACACATGTTAATTTACTTGGCTAATAGAATGTGTAGTCATTGGCTAGTGGGAGTTAATGTTCTAAGAAAAGCAGTAATTAAGCTTCCAGCTGTCAGTAAGTAGCTTAACTCTCAGCCTTTGAGAAAATTTCCCCCTTGATTTGATATGTTGGAGCCAGATGCTGAGGAGGGCTTGCTCATTTGAAAACCAGTTGCTTATTTAAAAGGGCTTGCCTTGCAGCTGTATCAAGTTGCAACCCCATTGCCCTTTTGTAAAGTAAAAAAGCAGGCTTGGCCATGAGCAGGTGGGCGGTGGGCAAGCTTGCTTTTTCAGCGGAGGCCATACCCTCCCTGACCTCTGGCCCTGGGGACCTCAGATACCTGGCAAGTTGTTCTGCTTTCTGTCACTGTGGTCCTTAGGGACTAAAATCACAGGTTCTGTTTTCCTCCAGCTTCTCATTTAGTTACGAGGGCAGAAGCAGCACAACCCTCTTGGAAGGATTCTAGTGTAGAGAATCCCTCCATAACAGGGAAAAAAAGAAAGGTTGGGATGAGAAGAGGGAGGTGATTTCCCAGTGCATACTTTACAAAATGCTTTCTAAAACCACTGAGCTGTGGCAGTTTTTCCTGTTAGACTGTTTACCTTGCTCACATCTTGGATCTGCTTTATGGTGCATACACTCATGTGCGTGCGTGCACACACACACACGCACACACATGCTCGCGTTCTCTGTGCAGTTCAGGAATGCAGGCTTCCTTGAATTGGCTCAGAGATGTGCTGATGGGGATGCCGCGGAGAGAAATCCAGCCTGAGCTCGGAGCTCGGCTGTGGTTGACACTCCCTCTGTGGGGCGGGGCCAAGTCCAGCCACCCCCAGTCCTCCAGTGCCCCATTTTCAGTCCTTACACCTGAATTTGATTTTAACTAATTTTAAGACATGGTGGCTGGCCCCCAGTTTCCTCCTGCTGATGAGGTGGAGAGCTGTGTGCCTTTTTTTTAACGCTCCGAATTCTAGATTTCACACCAGGGAGTTTAAGCTCTATCCCAGATGGAGCGCTCTGTGCTCTTGTTTTCACCAGACCGCTATGTCACTTCTTTTCATGTCGCTGATTGACAGCGTGCCCTGGCGGTGAGTCTTATTCCTGCCCAGTGGTCTGATCAGGAACCATGTCTGTTTGGATCTTCACCGATACAATGTCCAGTACTGGTGTGTAGTAGATGTATGGGGTGTGGTGGGACTGGATGAATGCCATCTGACTCACCTGATTCAGAAAGTGCTGTAGACTAGTAGATTTTTTTGGGATGCAGTCTGTTAAACTATGGTACTTGTGTGATCAGCTCTTGCACCTCTGTAATTTATTAACGTGATATTGGTGGCAAAATAGTAGTGATGTGTGGGCTTCCCGTTAGTCCATGAACTGGCCATCAGATGCTGAGGTCAGTGGTGCTAGCCAGAGGCTCTGGGTAAGGTGAGTGAGCCCCCAGCTGGAGTGTTTCTCAGCTTGTGCTCTTAGGATCTCCTGCGGCGGCAGCATCTGTTCACTTGTTCCAGGCGCAGGCTGCAGAGAGACCAGGTATCCTTGTTCCTTTGCCTGAGGATGCTTGTGAATGACCAAAACTAGAGAAACCCTTCCCTGAGGTCTTCGGTATGCAGAAACCTCTACTAATAGTTGGGATAATACAAACAACATTTCACAATGGACGTTGAGACAGGGCACAACCAGCAGCAGAGAGGGTGGGTGTTTCTCCCAGGACTACTTTTGACTGCCGAGTTGTAAGGAGGGGCAGTGTGGGCCTCGTGGGATCACCCTATCTGCAGGAGTCAGAGGCCTGCGAGTGTCACTTCTTCCCGGTGTTGCGTCTCGTGCAACACAGCCCGGGCTTGGGGTACTCTGCGGGGCTTTGTGTAAATAGATTCAAATCAAAATTGGAAACTCAAGTACTAATTGCAAAACTAGAGCAAATTGTTTTTGGGTGACTAACTCTTTTGCTTCTTTCCAGTACCACAAATACATACTTGTTTTTTGGAATGTGGCGACAGCTACCTGGGTTCTGGTTTGGAACTGGGATCTTGGAATCCCTGGACTTGGTTGGCCTGGCTCTTCATCTGTGTTTTGTTTAAGTTTTTTAAGCAAAATTTTTTTCTGTATATAAGAACTGGGGTGTAGGCCAGAGGTGTGTGTTTGTGGGGGAGGTGGGTGAGAGGATTCATGAGAGAGAGAGAGTAGGGAGCAGAACAGGTGATCTACTGTCCTGAGGAGAGGAGAGTGGGGGTTGAAACAGGAGAGGTCTGCGGCTCCCTGTGGGTCACCTTCCTGGCTGGGGATTGATCTTTCACAGTGACTAGTGATAGCTTGGTATTGCTGAGCCTTTAGCACCACTGGGAGGCCCTGATTTTCTTTTCTTTTCTTTTTTTTAAACTCCTTTAATTTTTAGTCCTTGTTTGTCAAGAAGTTCATTCACTTGTCTTAGTCCACATTGTAAAGGTGCCTCTTCCGTTGCTTTAACAAGCTCACAGCTGTTTGTTTACAGGTTATATCACAATTGTTAGGTTATTTCTGCTAGATCACAATTTTGCCTCCAAAATTGGACAGAGGTCAGGAGTGGCTGCTTCTCTGAAGCGTCACTACAAGATTATCATGAAACCAAGAAAGTCAGTCTTGGACCTTCTTAGCCCAGACTTGGACATTTCTTAGCCAAGGGGGTATGGGCAGGCAGGGACCAGACACTGTGGGAATTGCTTCTCTGTTCTCCCAGGTGATGCAGCCTCACCTTCATGATGCAGGTATGACGTTCTCGAGCAGGGTGTTTGGCAGTATGGGCCTTCATTTGGTTCTGTGTGTAAAGTTTTATTGAGACAGCCAGGTGCATTTGCTTGTGTGTGGGTGGTTGCGGTCTATCATAGCTGTGCTCTTGCTACCATGGAGGAATTGAATGGCTGCAGTGCGGGATGACCCTTAAGGTCTTAACAAGCTCTGTAGAGACCCGTACAGAAAGTTTTACAATCCTTGTTGTAGAGGCCAGATTCTATGACCTTTTGTATCGGCATTAGCAGCCTCTAGTACAAGAGCATGACATGTTCAGGTTACAGGCCTCACTGAGTCATTTTACTTTGTTGGTTACAAGGTGTTATTGTTAAGTTGTCATGGCAACTCCGATATCCTGCGTGCTACTGATGAGTTGAGAGCTTCTCTGTGCTTCACTCTTCTGATCAACCAACTGACTTCACGGTTAGAGACCAGTGTCACTATGTTAATCCTAAATATCTAGTGTCGACAGAGATGACTGTTAGTTTGTATTTGTATAGTATTAAAAATACAACTATAATACAAATAAGGTGGAAAATACTTTTATGACCCCTGTATTGGGATATGTAATTCATAGATCATAAAATTCACCCTTTGAGTGTACAATTATAATTATGTTTTTTTTGTGTGTTCACGGGGTTATGAGCTGATGATCACTACCTAATTCTGAGAATTTTATGTCTCCCAAGAAACCAGACTCATTAACATTACTTCTATTTTTTTGCTGCTCCTGCTCCCTGGTCACTTTTTATCTCTATGGAGTTGACTGTTTTGGACATTTTATATAAAAAGAATCATCTGACCTTTTGTGACAGCTTTCTTTATTCATACCAATTCTCAAGTTTCATCCCTGTTTTGGTATGAGTCATCACTTCATTAAAGTACTCTGTTGGGTGCATGTACCACCTTTACCTGTCTGTGCATTGATGAGCATTTGGGTCTACATCTTGGTTATGTGAACAGTGATCATGGCTCACGAATCTCATGAATAGTCCTGCTATGAATGTTCATGTCAACATTTGCATGTGGACCTGTTTTCAGTTCTGTTTCACACATACTTTGGGGTTTAATTGCTGGGTTATAGGATCATTTTATTTGAGAATTTGTTTTTCAAAGCAACTGTACCATTTTACATGCACACCAGCAGTGAGTTAGGGTTGCTATTTTTTCCACATCCTTGCCAAAGCCTGTT